GCACACTTTCGCATCCGACTTGCGCATACTGTGTTGCGACTGCTGCAACGTCATTTTGCAGTCATACTAGCATCTGCACATCGATGCGCACGCCCCCCACAACGACAGATGAGATCTGTTGATTCTAGGCATCCACATCCCGCACCATGCAGTCAATGTTCCGCCTTCCATGGTGTAACGAGTCGCCTGGCGACAAGATCATGGAAAAGTCTACCCTACACAAGTCAAGACCTTTGCCTGTCGTCGAAATGCCAAACTTCATGAACAAGATCAAGCGGAAAAGGACTGACAGTCCCGAACCCTCATCGGCGCAGCATGCGCATGTAGTAAAGAAGTGGAAAGGCGCGCACGGTGAGGTGAAGCCATCCGCTGTAAATGGAAATGCAAAGCCCGCCAGCGATCACGCATGTCTTGGAGATGCACCCAGAGCAGCTTCCGCTGAAGTTCTGGATGCCCGACCGAAGGCGCAGCCTGCAAGGAAAGAGAGCGCGAGCAAGAGCAAGACCTCGAAGCCCCAGCAACCGACTGCCAAACCTGACTCTACCAACACGCCTGCTACCACCACGGACTCTGGAATGACGGCTGTGCAACAAGCCATCGAGGCTCAGATCAACTACGAGATTCTGCTCAAGCACAACGAACTGCGTTTGATTGAACAGGAGCTCGCCAAATGCCAGGTCTCCCTCGAGCAGCTGAGGCGCTGTTCACTTATTCCTTTCCCTGGAACCGAGGGCCTCAATGAGGACGTTAGCCTGGGCGTTGGAGCTTCTCTGCTTCCGGCGTCAGGCTACACTGAGCCTCAATATGCCGCGCCTTGGGGAGTCACGGATGGCCCGTACACCCGTCACTATGCCAAGTGGTTGATCTCGGATGTCAAATTCGACCCGGTTTCCGAGAAGGCGCTCGCGCAGCAAGCTCAAGGTTACTTCGGCCATGGTGAGGGCAGGACGACGCGCGGCAGCTTTACTGACTACGGGTCAGCTCATCGAGGCCGCACGTCGCGAACTTCGACTGGAATGTTGAAGCTCACGCCTCTTGGTGAAACTCCAGCACCAGCACCCAAAGTCGACCCTCTGTTGCACAAGCGATCCACCGACGGTAAATGGGTGCGATTGTACTGCGCTCAGTGTGGGCACAGTAACTTTTCCAACACCCAGGGTTTCCTCAATCACTGCCGTATCAAGCATACCCAAGTGTTCAAGAGCCACGATGCAGCTGCTATCGCCTGTGGTGTGCCTGTAGACACCAACGAGGTCGCGAATCCCGTTCCTGCGACGGAGCCTGCCAGCACGCCCGCTGCGGTACCAGCGGTATCTTTCCCTATTCCAACTACTCCTGGTATCGTTCACCCACTGGCTGCTCAGGCCGCACCCGTTGCGCAAGCTCCGGAAGTGCATCGTGATGTGAACACCGCACCACTTGACGAATCGAAACCCGCCACGCCATCTAGCTACGTCAAGTCATCTTCAACACCTTACCTGGCAGCTCGTTTCCAGAACAGCGGCCTGCAAGGTGACTTTAAGGAAATTGTGGAGACTGCCCGGGCCAAGATTGATCTGGATGCGATAGACCTTTCAGACGATGACAGTGCGGACAACAGTGCTGCCCCGACACCGGTAACCACTGCACCGCCACACCTCGCGCGTCTTCCTGCTAGTGCCCCCTTAAGCAAAGCTCCCACTGCAAGGGCCGGCAGCAAGAAGGGTTCTCAACCGAGTCACGCACGCCTCCCAATGTCTTTCCCATCTCCCGTCAAGTCTGAAGGTGACGAGCACATGCTAGGCTCGTCGGTAGATCTCAGCCCTAATACAGTCGAGTCTAACCCGGGTCTAGTCAGCGATCACGATGACGATGATGACGACGATGCGGATGACGCGCATAGCCAGCCTGACCTTGCTATCGACGACCATGTCATGGTCGAGGACTCGAGTGACGTTGAAGGCGCGCAAGAACGTAGTGGTTCCCGGCAAGGACTGCATGGGTGCTTTGAGAAAGGCGAGGGTAGTCGGAATCACTAAGTAGTGCGAGCGAGTTAGGTCCGGCTCCCACTGTTATTGTTTCCTACTATCTCCCTTTCCTGATGCCCTCATGCTTTAGAACGACGAATATTCTCTTTCTTCATTTTCCCCCTTTTGGTGGCTTACTTTATTATACACGGGTGCCAGCAATGGACAGGGTGGTCCGCTGGTCAGGACATGTGCAATGTTCTAGTTATAGTCTTTGTTTTCTGTTTTCCCTTTGCCTCCTTGTTTGCTCTCACGATCGACCAAAATCTGTCAGACATCTCATCTCATGCGCGCGCCCTTACGAGGTGTTCAGTAGGCGCTGGAAACGTCGTGTATTATCATCTCTTGTATGAAAGATTGGTGTCTTGGGTTGGGGTTGGGAACCCTTTTACGGGGTGGTTTGGCTTTTAGATGGATTGGGGGTGCTGGCACACTACTTTTTGTGCCCAACTGCAAATGTTGACTTTGATGGGTCGGCCCAAAACATGACGATGTGTGAAAGCTCGTCCTGCTTGTATATATTTTAATGTTATGAACGTCTCTGAAGGTCGAATTTGACGATGTGGAGTTTGACGTGTCATGGGTTGGATGTGCAAATGCATGTGCTGCTGCAACTGGAGACGATGGCACGATATGTGCAAACGCGGCAGTCGTATACGACATTGCCTTTCCATAACGCCTCGCTTCATGATGCCCTCCCTATACAATCCTTGGTTCCACTCGCCAATATTATGCTGCCATGACTAGACAGATTCCCTTGTAGTCTGCATACCTCGCTCATCCCATAAACTCCAGTGCCTACCCTCTCCATTAGCCCAAACGTCTCCACTACACATGGAAGCCAGAAGAGCGGTCAACTTACAGCCATGACGACACACGCAATACTAACATACGGACTCAGGCGCTCGCCCACGCGCGCCGCCTTCCACAGCGGAGACACAAAGTAGTTGTCCTTGTTGCGGTCGATGATACCGGGGAAGACGTAGTGGGCATAGGTCGAGGTGCAGATTGTGAGCAGGATTACGAGGAGGAGGGATTGGAAGTTGAAGAGGGCCGTCTGTGGGGGGGTTAGTGAAGGGGGGAGGGAGAGGGGAGGCGAGGTACCATTGTGAGGGATGAATGGAGATGGAGACGGTGTAGTGGTTACGAGAGGGTGGGTCGCGCGAGGTGTGTCGGGTAGATCGCGGGTGCGTGGAAATGCGCGGCACAAGGACAGATGGATGCCGTGCGTCGTTTGGTCGTTGTGGTAGTCGCCCGTTGTTGCAAGCTAGACTGGCCGCATGATGTGCGAGGCGGCGGCGGCGGAATGGGGAGGGAGAGTGGCCCGTGCGCGCCCGCAGCGCATGGCGGGATCGTCATTGCAGCTACACTAGGACCTTTCCCTTGTTTCCGCGCTTCCTCCTCACACGCGAACGTCGCGTCTTTCTGCAACTTGCACCACGGCAACGCATCACGGTTCATCGCTAAACGGGTACGGGCGCCATTGGGAGCAGAGCGCGCGACTGGGATTCGAACGTTTTGCACGCGATAGAGAGCGCGGAGCCCTGAGGGCTGGTGTGTAGACACGAGACTGGTGAAGCCGACGGGTGATTGAGCGCACCGCACGGCATGACGGAACCTCGTATGAGGCTGCGGCAAAAGGGCCAGCAGTTTCCCACGCAGGACTGTAAGTGGGATTTTCATGTTCGCTTCATCGCAGGTGGCCTTGATGGTGAAGTCGGTTTGCTGCCTTCACCCATTCCCTTCCATCACATCCTCTGCTAGTCCTCCCCCTTCTATCCCAACCCCATAAACCCCTCCACCACAACGCCCACTCCCCCACAGCCGCGCACCCCGCTGTGCCGCACCCACGACGTTACCTCGGAAATCCCCTTAACATACTCTTCAGTAGAAGCCTTCCTCCTCGCCTTTGGCGACAACGACTACCCACTCCCCGAAACCGTGCGCGTCCTCGACGAAATCATAACCGACTACATCATCGAAACATGCCACGAAGCAGCCTCGGTGGCGCACCACGCGCGCCGCGCCAAGATCAAGCTCGACGACTTTAAATTCATGCTGCGCCGCGACACGAGCAAGCTGGGTCGTGTGTCGGAGATGCTGGAGACGGACAAGGAGCTGAAGAGGAAGAGGAAGGCGTTTGATACGGATGAGGGCGCTGTGCTGGTGGAGAAGGATGGGGGTGGAGGAGGTGGTGGAGGTGGAGAGGGCGAGACCAAGTTGGGACGACCGAAGAAGAAGGTGCAGGTTGGTGAGGTGGAGGCTAGTGTTGATGGGGATGGTGAGGCGGAGAAGAAGAAGAAGCGGAAGAAGAAGAGGGACGGTGGGGGTGGGGATGATGCGAGTACGGTGCGTAGTGGATGAGGGAGAGATGCATTGTAGCATTGCCGCGAGGAGAACAAACGGCTGCTTCGACGACGATGGATGCGAGAGGCGCCGCCGACTCGCACTGCGATTGTTCATCAAAAAGACGATCATGGCCGCACATGGACCTGGAGATATCACTACAGCGCCTTGTCGCGACACCTCCACACTTGTTCCCCGATTCAGCAGTGTGGAGACAAACCCACCCACCGAAGCGAATCATGCACGCGGCTTCCCACGGCGGAAGCCATGTTCGCGCAAGAAGGGAAGCTCACTACCCAATGGCTACTGGGCGAGGCAGTCATGCGTATTATTTGAAGAAAAAAAAAAGGGCCACAGGAGCCCCGAAGCGACAATGATGCCGAAAGAGCAAGAGGAATACCCAAATTACACTCTTTCCGTTGACAAGAGTAAAAATTCCTCAGAATAAAAGAGTCGTCATGTACAGGTCTAGACTCACAAAAAAAACCCACATTTTTTTTTTCCTTTCTCCATCTCTATTTGCCCACATCACATTCCCCCTTCCTCTCTCGTCCCTGCTTCCCACACACACACACACTCTCTCTCTCTTCCCTGCTAACACGACCAATTTCCAAAACCCCCAAATCAACCAACCACACTTCTACTCTTGTCTCCTTAGCTCAATTGGGAGAGCGCCAGACTGAAGTCTTCATCTCGGTCATTGAAATCTGGAGGTATCGTGTTCGATCCACGAAGGGGACAAATGAAATTCCAAATCGCGCCCAGGCTTGTCTTGGGATCTTTCGAACCATCTTTTTTTTGGTCTTGGTTTAGGAGAATGGGAGGAGTGGTGGGGATGAGAGACGGGTGCGTGTGTGGTGTTGATTTGATTGATGTTGTATGTTGTGTGCAATCATCTTTTCTTCTTCTTCTTCTTTTTTTTCCCCCATTCCTTTTTTTCTTTTTGTAGATATGGGGATATGGTCTCCTTTGCACTGCATTTGTGGAGGGAGAGTCAATCGTACATTGCTCTCTGCAATCCTGCGTGGTATCGTGTGCAAGTCCAAACAAGCCTGATTGCGGATTTCGGTATTTCATTCCATCTTGATGTGCGGCTCAGCAGAAAACTAAAAAAAAAAAGTTGCCTGCGAGTTCCGCCGCCGCCGTACGAACGTAGTAGTATGATACAGCATTTGGTGGTGCTCTCCTCAGATGAGCCAAGCAGCCCACCATACCTTCTCCCATCTCAGCATCCTCATCATTGTCATGGCTGCCAGCATTGTCTGGATTTCAAGCCTCCCATACACACACACACATATTCGTTGTGCCGAATCCACACGTAATGCTGAATCCATTAAGCGTCCCGAGGCGATTTTCACGCCGTTACTAGAGGCTTGACGCCCGTCTAACATGACGGGCTAGTCAAACGCCAAACTCCTTGCCATGTTTTCCCTTTGGGCATGCTCATGCCTCTTGTTCCCTCTGTTGCCTTCCCTTGCCGCCGCCTCGTCGGTCGCCACCCTTGCCCCTGTTGTCGCCGTCCTTCTTGCCGTCACCACCAAGAACGTCACCACCGCCCATAGTTAGCGCAGCGGTGGCAAGGCGGTTGGAGAGATCGATTTGCGTGCGGATGGTGTTTGCGAGGTATGATACTACGAGAACGTCTTGGATGTGTGCGTTGCTGCAATGTGTCAGTAGAGTTGGATGCAGAGAATACAGATGCAACGTACAAGTCGCGCTCAACATCAGCGGGCTCAACCTTGGGTGCTAAGCTGAGTGCGTTCATCAGGAATTGACCCAGGGCAGATGAAGGCTCGGCCTCCTCGTCCAGAACATTGTTGACGTAGTTGGAAACGCGCTCGAGCATGTCGAGAACATGTTGGATGGCGCGCTCCAATGAGTCGAGATCGGTCATGACCTCCTGTGACCGGTCTTCGCGGTCCTTTGCCGAGGAAATGAGCTCCAGGCCTGACCTCTCGGCCTCGCCGTACTTGATCTCGTGCGGCACCGGGATAAACAGGCATGAGTCGGCAGCGCGCTCGGCAGTCACGCCAATGGGGGCGGAGATGTATGTCTTGGACTCGATGTCTTGGCCGGGTACGGTGGAGACGGTGAGATGTACGGCGGGGTGGGGCCATGTGCCGTCGCCTTGCTGGCTGTAAAAGTTCTGGATGAGGGCGGAGAAGGTGTTGAGGTCGCTGCTGGTCGCGTACCAGCCGACGAGGACTTCGCGGGGGTTGGCGCGGAGGTGGAGAGCCAGCATCTGCTTCTGGTAGTCCATGTCGACCTCGACCTGCTCGGCCGTCTCGGTATGGGGGACGGCATAGCAGTTGCGGATCTCGATCTCAGTGCCGTCTTCGCTGCGGGTGCCGAGCAGGGTGCCGATGACGCGCTCTTGGTCGGCGGGGCGGCGGAGGGAGTGGTCGAGGATGGAGAAGACGGCCTATTGATCTGGTGTCAGAGAGCGAAGCGTGCAGCCTCTCACGGCGGTTGTCGCATACCTGGGGCTGGATAGCGACATTCAGCGGGGCAGTCGAGGGCTGAGCACCCATGGGCGCTGGGCCGAGCGGGCGCGCGAGATGCAGGAAGGAGTCGTTCTCGGCCATGGTAGCGATGGGGCGAGTGTTTGCGGCGGGCGTGGTGCTGAGGGTGCTGAGGATGCTGAGGGTGCCGGTGGGTGAGGCGCTGCGACTATCGAAGGTGTCAATGTGGTTGGTGGGGCACGTCGATATTCTTCACGAAATCTGGGCAGGTGCGGTTCGCTTGCACGGACCATGTGCATTTATTTTCTGGTGGAGACGAAGCCGACTTAGTTTGTCGTCGCATCGACGCGCGCATTGTCAAGCCGCCGGAAACATTGTCGCGGCACAGCACCGGGAGCCCGTAGCGCTGCAGCAGCATCTCGCGTTGAATTGCCGGGAAAGAGTATATTCTCTACCGCCAACCTCTGTCGCAACGAGGCGCATTCCATCTTCACACCCGTACAACCATGGCGCCCATGAGAGGTGGCGGCGGCGGCGGTGGCGGCTTTAGGGGGCGAGGAAGAGGCGGCGGATCAATGGGAAGAGGGAGGGGTGGCGCAAGGGGACGGGGAAGGGGTGGTGGCAGAGGAGGCTTTGCAGCGGCCAGGACGAGAGACGAGGTCGACGATTCGTGAGTACGGAATTTGCTGACAAAGACTGCCATCTGTATACTGACTGCCGTTCAAGTAATGCCCATATGCGCGAGCCCTCCGAATCCGAACACAGCGAATCTGAAGCCTCCGACGCCGGTTCAGACGACGACGACGACGACGAGGAAGAAGAGGCCCAGCCCATCTCCAACGCTTACGCAGCCCTCCTCCAGTCCTTCTCCACGCGCGATGCAGCCTCAGACGGGCCGCGAAAGAAGAGACGGAAGCTCGGACACGACGAATCGTCAGGCCAAGCCGGTCCCCTACACCCGGAGGAGGACTTGAGCAACCCAGAGGCCGACGACACTGCTCGTGACCAAGAGGCAGAACAGGACGATCCAGACAATGAAGAACTAGAAGGCGAAGACAACGAAGAGCAACAACTGGAAAATGCATATGAGAAACATTTTGCGAACCCAGACGAAAATGAGCTGGCGACAAGATTGAAGCGGATGGCGACAAATCAATGGTCTTCACAAAAGTTGGATCGCGGAACAGGAAGCGCAAAGGGGGTTGGAATCATCCAGGTTCCAAGCGATCAAGTCCAGCCGCCAAAGAAACTCAAGAGCATACGCGACGTCCAGTTGAAGGCGCGCCTTGTGGAGAATGCGCAGAAGAAAATCGGAAACTTCAACGAGCTTGAACAGGCTGTCGCACCTTCCATCTTTGGCTACCAGGATCTGCTTTTCGGTGCGAGAACAGTACAAAACGCCGGGCGCCTTCGCGACATTGCCTGTCTACATGCCCTCAACCACATCCTGATGACGCGGGATCGCGTGTTGAAAAATAACGCAAAGCTGGCGGCTGCGAGCGACGACATCGATGCCGAGTACCGCGACCAGGGGTTTACGCGCCCAAAGATACTATTCCTCCTAGAGACAAAGCAGGCCTGTGTGCGCGTGCTAGATTCCATCACCAAGCTTCACGACTTTGAACAACAAGAAAATAAAAAGCGGTTCCTCGACAGCTTCTCACAGCCAGAGGACAAGTTTCCAGATGACAAGCCTGCAGACTTCCGGGAGTTGTTCGAAGGCAATGACGAGAACGAGTTCCGCATCGGCGTCAAGTTAACGCGAAAGACACTGAAGCTGTACTCCACATTCTACAACTCCGACATCATCTTCGCCTCCACATTGGGTCTCCGCCGAGCCATCGAGTCTGGCGATCCCAAGAAGCGAGACTACGACTTCCTATCCTCCATTGAGATGGTCATCATGGAGCAGGCAGACGCTACCCTGATGCAAAACTGGGAACACGCAGAGTTCGTCTTCGAACATCTCAACCTCCAACCAAAGGATGCACATGGCTGCGACTTTTCGCGGGTACGATCGTGGTATCTAGATGGACACGCACCGCACATCCGCCAGACGATTGTACTGTCCGCCTTCCTCACACCAAAGATCAACACGCTCTACAACAAACACATGCGAAACTTCGCCGGACGTCTAAAGTACACCGCCGACCACACCAGCGGCATCATAGAATCCATGTCCTATGGCGTCAAGCAGACGTTCCTCCGCTTCGACTCGCCATCCCATCTCACCGACCCAGACGCGCGCTTCAAATACTTCAACACATCCATCCTGCCCACCATCAACCGGCTACCGCGAACGCCCGAAGGCGGCCTTGGTGTGCTCGTCTTCATCCCTTCCTACCTCGACTTCGTCCGCGTCCGCAACTCGCTTGTCGACTCCGACTTCTCCTACGCCTCCATCAGCGAATACACCGACGCGACCGACGTGCGCAAAGCACGCTCCCATTTCATGAACGGCAAGCATTCGCTGCTGTTGTACACGGGCCGTGCGCACCACTTCCACCGCTACAACATCCGCGGTGTTAAGCGTGTTGTCTTTTATGGCGTCCCTGAGAACCCCGTGTTTTACGACGAGGTTGTCGGGTTCATTGGGAAGACGCTGGAACGCGCTGAGATTAGCAGGGCTGAGGCTAGTGTCAGGGTGGCCTTTTCCAGGTGGGAGAGGTTGGAGTTGGAGAGGGTTGTGGGGAGTAAGAGGGTGGGGAAGATGGTGGGGGATAAGGGGGATGTGTTTGATTTTGTCTGAGGTAGATTGAAGATTTTTTTTTTCACCATGGGCATCTAGACTAAAGACGGTGGTTTGTACTAGACATCTTCCTGGGTACTGTACAGTTAGTTCCTGACAAGATCAGTTCGGCGATCACATGTTGTTTTTCATCTTTCCCACGTTCCCTTACCTTTTCTCCACCATGCACTTCCCCTGCAACTTCTACCAACCACTTCTCCACTCTCTTCTTCCCCTGTTCACAGCGCACATATTCATGCTATCATCCGGATCCAGCGTCAGCATAGGAGAGGGTCCCCACGTTTCATCGCCATGTTCATCTGAATCGACGTACGGTTCATACACGTCCTTGTCAGGCACTCTGTCTCCGTCCGAGCTTACTTCTTGGGCTACTCTGCGAGGTAATACATGTGGCAGGGGAAACATCTGTTTGCTGGTGTGGTACTGTGTTGTCGTTGTGTTAGCTGTAGCCGGTGGTTGGAGGATATGGTAGACCCAGATAGGCGTCTAGATAAGGCCATGGAGTTGGTGGGTGCTGAGTGTTCGAATGGG